GCCCAATGCAAAAAGCGTGAGGATCCATGAGGATCCGTGCTTCGGAACCACGTTTTTGGGCCATGGAGTGGCCAGGAAGCCGTGGATCCGAGTTTTTTGTGGTGCAGGCTGTGCCCCTGGGAATGATGTGTGATTTGACGGTGAGTTTGGGCTGATCCAATGCAAAAAGCGTGAGGATCCATGAGGATCCGTGCTTCAAAACCACGTTTTTGGGCCTTGGAGTGGCCAGGAAGCCGTGGATCCGAGTTTTTTGTGGTGCAGGCTGTGCCTCTGGACATGATGTGTGATTTGAGGGTGAGTTTGGGGTGGCCCAATGCAAAAAGCGTGAGGATCCATGAGGATCCGTGCTTCAAAACCACGTTTTTGGGCCATGGAGTGGCCAGGAAGCCGTGGATCCGAGTTTTTTGTGGTGCAGGCTGTGCCCCTGGGAATGATGTGTGATTTGATGGTGAGTTTGGGTTGATCTAGTGCAAAAAGCGTGAGGATCCATGAGGATCCGTGCTTCGGAACCACGTTTTTGGGCCATGGAGTGGCCAGGAATCCGTGGATCCGAGTTTTTTGTGGTGCAGGCGGTGCCCCTGGGAATGATGTGTGATTTGATGGTGAGTTTGGGCTGATCTAGTGCAAAAAGCGTGAGGATCCATGAGGATCCGTGCTTCGGAACCACGTTTTTGGGCCATGGAGTGGCCAGGAAGCCATGGATCCGAGTTTTTTGTGGTGCAGGCTGTGCCTCTGGACATGATGTGTGATTTGAGGGTGAGTTTGGGTGGCCCAATGCAAAAAGCGTGAGGATCCATGAGGATCCGTGCTTCAAAACCACGTTTTTGGGCCATGGGGTGGCCAGGAAGCCGTGGATCCGAGTTTTCTGTGGTGCAGGCTGTGCCCCTGGGAATGATGTGTGATTTGATGGTGAGTTTGGGTGGCCCAATGCAAAAAGCGTGAGGATCCATGAGGATCCGTGCTTCAAAACCACGTTTTTGGGCCATGGAGTGGCCAGGAATCCGTGGATCCGAGTTTTTTGTGGTGCAGGCTGTGCCCCTGGGAATGATGTGTGATTTGATGGTGAGTTTGGGCTGATCTAGTGCAAAAAGCGTGAGGATCCATGAGGATCCGTGCTTCGGAACCACGTTTTTGGGCCATGGAGTGGCCAGGAAGCCGTGGATCCGAGTTTTTTGTGGTGCAGGCTGTGCCTCTGGACATGATGTGTGATTTGACGGTGAGTTTGGGGTGGCCCAATGCAAAAAGCGTGAGGATCCATGAGGATCCGTGCTTCGGAACCACGTTTTTGGGCCATGGAGTGGCCAGGAAGCTGTGGATCCGAGTTTTTTGTGGTGCAGGCTGTGCCCCTGGACATGATGTGTGATTTGACGGTGAGTTTGGGCTGATCTAGTGCAAAAAGCGTGAGGATCCATGAGGATCCGTGCTTCAAAACCACGTTTTTGGGCCTTGGATTGGCCAGGAAGCCGTGGATCCGAGTTTTTTGTGGTGCAGGCGGTGCCCCTGGGAATGATGTGTGATTTGATGGTGAGTTTGGGCTGATCTAGTGCAAAAAGCGTGAGGATCCATGAGGATCCGTGCTTCGGAACCACGTTTTTGGGCCATGGAGTGACCAGGAAGCCGTGGATCCGAGTTTTCTGTGGTGCAGGCTGTGCCCCTGGGAATGATGTGTGATTTGATGGTGAGTTTGGGCTGATCTAGTGCAAAAAGCGTGAGGATCCATGAGGATCCGTGCTTCGGAACCACGTTTTTGGGCCATGGAGTGGCCAGGAATCCGTGGATCCGAGTTTTTTGTGGTGCAGGCGGTGCCCCTGGGAATGATGTGTGATTTGATGGTGAGTTTGGGCTGATCTAGTGCAAAAAGCGTGAGGATCCATGAGGATCCGTGCTTCGGAACCACGTTTTTGGGCCATGGAGTGGCCAGGAAGCCGTGGATCCGAGTTTTTTGTGGTGCAGGCTGTGCCTCTGGACATGATGTGTGATTTGAGGGTGAGTTTGGGGTGGCCCAATGCAAAAAGCGTGAGGATCCATGAGGATCCGTGCTTCAAAACCACGTTTTTGGGCCATGGGGTGGCCAGGAAGCCGTGGATCCGAGTTTTCTGTGGTGCAGGCTGTGCCCCTGGGAATGATGTGTGATTTGATGGTGAGTTTGGGGTGGCCCAATGCAAAAAGCGTGAGGATCCATGAGGATCCGTGCTTCAAAACCACGTTTTTGGGCCATGGAGTGGCCAGGAATCCGTGGATCTGAGTTTTTTGTGGTGCAGGCTGTGCCCCTGGGAATGATGTGTGATTTGATGGTGAGTTTGGGCTGATCTAGTGCAAAAAGCGTGAGGATCCATGAGGATCCGTGCTTCGGAACCACGTTTTTGGGCCATGGAGTGGCCAGGAAGCCGTGGATCCGAGTTTTTTGTGGTGCAGGCTGTGCCTCTGGACACGATGTGTGATTTGACGGTGAGTTTGGGGTGGCCCAATGCAAAAAGCGTGAGGATCCATGAGGATCCGTGCTTCGGAACCACGTTTTTGGGCCATGGGGTGGCCAGGAAGCCGTGGATCCGAGTTTTCTGTGGTGCAGGCTGTGCCCCTGGGAATGATGTGTGATTTGATGGTGAGTTTGGGCTGATCTAGTGCAAAAAGCGTGAGGATCCATGAGGATCCGTGCTTCAAAACCACGTTTTTGGGCCATGGAGTGGCCAGGAATCCGTGGATCCGAGTTTTTTGTGGTGCAGGCTGTGCCTCTGGACATGATGTGTGATTTGACGGTGAGTTTGGGGTGGCCCGATGCAAAAAGCGTGAGGATCCATGAGGATCCGTGCTTCGGAACCACGTTTTTGGGCCATGGAGTGGCCAGGAAGCTGTGGATCCGAGTTTTTTGTGGTGCAGGCTGTGCCCCTGGACATGATGTGTGATTTGACGGTGAGTTTGGGCTGATCTAGTGCAAAAAGCGTGAGGATCCATGAGGATCCGTGCTTCAAAACCACGTTTTTGGGCCTTGGATTGGCCAGGAAGCCGTGGATCCAAGTTTTTTTTGTGGTGCAGGCTGTGCCCCTGGGAATGATGTGTGATTTGACGGTGAGTTTGGGGTGGCCCAATGCAAAAAGCGTGAGGATCCATGAGGATCCGTGCTTCAAAACCACGTTTTTGGGCCATGGAGTGGCCAGGAAGCCGTGGATCCGAGTTTTCTGTGGTGCAGGCTGTGCCCCTGGACATGATGTGTTATTTGACGGTGAGTTTGGGGTGGCCCGATGCAAGAAGCATGAGGATCCATGAGGATCCGTGCTTCAAAACCACGAAACAAGGTTATAATTTGCTGATAAATTTATCACATGAAACAAGGTTATAATTTGCTGATAAATTTATTGTTAAGAATGCATTGTGTGGGAGATGCGGGGAAGTTCGATAGAAAGTTGAAATAAGTTGTTGAAGGGTTATGATTCTTTTTATCTTCTTTTTGTCTGTTTTCTTTGTTTCTTTTTCTTCTGTCTATGTTTGAAAAAATGCAATAAAAATCTTTTTAAAAAAACAAAACCACGTTTTTGGGCCACGGTATGGTCAGGAAGCCGTGGATCCGTGATTTTTGTGGTGCAGGCTGTGCCTCTGGACATGATGTGTGATTTGACGGTGAGTTTCGGGTGGCCCGATGCAAAAAGCGTGAGGATCCATGAGGATCTGTGGTTCGGAACCAAGTTTTTGGGCCACGGTTTCGCCAGGAAGTCGTGGATCTGTGATTTTTGTGGTGGATGCTGTGCCCATGGCCATGATGTTTGATCTGATGGTGTCTTTGGGCTGATCTAGTGCAAAAATCATGAGGATTCATGAGGATCCGTGCTTCGGAACCACGTTTTTGGGCCAGGGAGTGTCCAGGCAGGTGTGGATCCGAGTTTTTTGTGGTGTAGGCTGTGCCCCTTACTATGATATGTGATTTGACGGTGAGTTTGGGTTGGCCTGATAAAGAAAGCGTGTGGATCCATGAAGATCCGTTCTTGAAAACCACGTTTTTGGGCCACGGTTTCGCCAGGAAGCCGTGGATCCGTGATTTTTGTGGTGGATGCTGTGCCCATGGCCATGATCTTTGATCTGATGGTGACTTTGGGCTGATCTAGTGGAAAAATCATGAGGATCCATGAGGATCCGTGTTTTTTAACCATGTTTTTGCGCCCCTGCGCCCCCCCGAAACAGTGGATGCGTGATTTTTTTGATGCTTTCTACAGAGTAAGACATGGTCTACAATATCATGGTGGTTTTATTTAATTTGAATGAAAAAATCATATGAATTCACGAGGATCCGTGTAGATCCGCCTTTTACCTTTTTCCTCTAAAAGCGAGCGATCCTCCTCCTTTCCCTTTCACCGGTGAAGCAGAAGATGCGATCCTGTCTGGTTTTGCAGCTGTGTGAGAGTACTAAAGTTATCCCTGTACAGGCGGCCATTCGTTCATCTAGCTCGATATTGTCAACACTGATTGGAAGCGGCTTTAAAAGTGGGCTCGACAAATTCATGTAGGAGACTGCTGACTGGCTGCTAGTTCTGATGGCTATCATACCTCAATCATGAGGATCCATGTTTTTAACCATGTTTTTGCGCCATTGCGGCCCCATGAAACAGTGGATGCATGACTTTTTTGATGCTGCCTACAGACTAAGACATGGTCTACAGTATCATGGCAGTTTTATTTAATTTGAATGAAAAAAAGCATATGAATTCATGAGGATCCGCCTTTTACCCGTTTCCCTCTAAGGGCAGCAGCAGTATGCCTCGGGAAACTAGTTGCTGGGGATGGCAAATGGGAGAGAGATTTTGCAGTCCTGTCATAGGCATCTGAATGGTCCCTCTGGGAACAGAATGCTGGACTATATATAGCCCTTTAGTCTGATTCGGCGGGCTACAGCCTGTTCACTCTCAACTTGGTCCTACTGATTTGAGCGGAACCTTTTCTCTACCAAGCTTGCAGCTCTTACTTGCTGCAAGTATTTTGCCCTGAGTGCGCATGCAGCCTCTGTGAATTCTCGCCCTGAAAACTGCTTATCGTAGCAGAGAATGAACGGTTGTATAAATTGGAGCAATTTCAGAGCGTAGGCGTAGTCAGGAGGGCAGGGGGAGGGGGCAGCTGCCTCCCCTGGATAAAACAATAGAAATACTTAACTAACTGACCAATCACGTCGGTTCTGCCCCCCCCCAACAAAAATCCTGGTTCCGCCCATGTTTCAGAGCATGCATCTGGCAAGTGTGGGTCCAAGCAGGCGCGAATTCACGATTTGGTGCCTCAGCTGGAACCTCCCCCTCGGGTGCAAACGGGGCCAGCCTCCTCCCCAGCCCATCATGGAGTCTGGTTAGTCCGGGTTTTCTGGTTCCCACAGGAGCCGCCTTCTTCTCTGTGCTGCTTAATCCAGCTCGAAGCGTCTCTTGGGCTCCGTCCGCGCGAGATCATGGCTCTGTACACGCGGGGATCGGCTGCAGTGGCCGTGATTCGACTGTGTAATCCTCCACTCAACACGCTCAGGTAATTTGCAAGTGAAGACTTCTCCCATTCTCGGGCTCCTGGTTGGCGGGTGGAAACTGCTCGTCTGCAGATTCGACCCCAGAGAGCGCCTGCATGCGCTTCTGCTGCATGACTCGGAGGGTCGCTTGCTGTCGCACTCAGATTCTGCTTGCAGGCTTCCCATAGGCTGGCCACTGTGAAAACAGGATGTTGGACTAGCTGCTTATGTTTACATGGAAGAAAGTCCCGTGGTACTCGGTGATGCTTCCTCTTAGGTGCATTGGATCGTAAGCAGAGCCTTTGCACTCTTACTCCGATTTGTTTAGTAAAGGGTAAAGGGACCCCTGACCATTAGGTCCAGTCGTGGCCGACTCTGGGGTTGCGGCGCTCATTTCGCTTTATTGGCCGAGGGAGGCAGCGTACAGCTTCCGGGTCATGTGGCCAGCATGACTAAGCCGCTTCTGGCAAACCAGAGCAGCGCACGGAAACGCTGTTTACCTTCCCACCGGAGTGGTACCTATTTATCTACTTGCACTTTGACGTGCTTTCGAACTGCTAGGTTGACAGGAGCAGGGACCGAGCAATGGGAGCTCACCCCGTCGCAGGGATTCGAACCGCCGACCTTCTGATCGGCAAGTCCTAGGCTCTGTGGTTTAACCCACAGCACCTCCCGTGTCCCCAGATTTGTTTACTTCCAAATAATTGTGACTAGGACTGCAGCCACAACTAACTTCTTGCTTGCCAACCCTAATTTTCCAGTAGTGCATAAACCAGCATGATATTGAGATGTTATAGTTTGGTACTGCAGAGATACTTTCACCCTAGTTGGGTGGTTAGCTTTGTTTTCAAGTTTAACAAGCACACACAAGCAGCGTGGGGACCCTAAGTTATGGCTTTCCCCCTGCACTTCAGAGTTTCAACCCTGAATTTCCTGATAGACAAAAGATACCATATATACATGAGACATGTGAATTACAACTGTTTTCCAGCCTTGAATTCCAGACTAATACAAAAATTTCCCTATTCTTAAATACTGTTTCTTGCCTGCAGCAAAAGTTAGTTCAAATCAGCATGGGAAATCAGCACCTACACACTCTCCTTTTCTTTTTTTCTTTTTGCCTTCCTTTATCCCTTGTGGGATCAGTGACAGTAGAAATCATAAACTGGCAGATTTCTCCCTGTCAGGATCTGGACTTTAAACCTACCACACTTATGCCCTCCTGGCACTCTGCCCCACAGTTCCTCCCCCTCCAAAGCTTTGCTTTCTTTCCTGCCTGCCAGTAGTTTACAGCCTCAGTCCTGTTTTCCCTTCCTTCCTTCCTTCCTCCTTCCCTCCCTCCCTCCCTCCTTCCTTCCTTCCTTCCTTCCTTCCTTCCTTCCTTCCTTCCTTATTTTTATTTTGCTTATTTTGCTACTCTCTTTATCAACTTCCGTAGCACTCAATTGTCCTTTCATTATACAGAACTTCCTGGTTTTGCTTCATTTTGCCTCAATTCTCTGTCTCCTTAACCCTTTTATTCAAACCTTGTTTTGTGGCTACCTTTCCTTCATGGTTCTGTTTCTCGGCCCATTGACTACGCTGCACCCATCTTCTGGCTGACCTCCACTTTCCTATGTCATAGGGCTGCTTCCCATATAAGGTTTTCATCACAGCTAAACTAACAACTTTTCCTACCCTCACAGAAGCTGGACTACAAACTGGTCAGTGTGCCTTGAATAACTGGACATTCTGTGGCACCACACCAGCCCAGATTGTAAACAATAAAAACGTTACTGCCACAAGTGGAAGGCAATATAGATAGTACAGTACTTGAGAACTACAGTTTCACCTACAAACATTTGTTGATCAAGTAGAGAAACTCTCCTAGCTGTGCAATCAAGGGGATGATTAAAGTATGTAGGATAAGCATTAATAACCGGGAAACACTGGCCTGTGAGTGCTCCAAATGGAGAACAGCCTTTACCGAAGGTGTCATGGACTTTGAAGAAGCAGGAACTCAGGGTGAAAATGATAAACAAGCTAAGAGGAAGGCATGTTTAGCAAACCCTCACTGTGATCAACTCCCACCTGGAAACCTATGTCCCCACTGTGGAAGGAGGTGTGGATCCAGAATTTGCCTCCACAGTCACTTACATACTCACTGTTAAGACCATGTTCATGGAAGACAATCTTACTCGGCTATGAGTGATCGCCAAAGAAAGAAAGAAAGTATAAGGCAATAATATGCTGAGCAATCTTCAAAATGTTTTACAAAGTATAAATGGCATATTACAGATTTTGCATAATTCTGCTTCCCAAACTGGAGTTTCAAAATAATTTAGGACAGCTTTGTGCTTGTGCATGGACTGAGATGACAGTAGGTTTGTTCTTTGACAGTGAACCCAAAGAGATACAGAATAGCCAAAGATGTGTATTTGTGCCTGACTTAGCAATATGCTTTGTGTAAGTCTTTGGCCCCTGTCCTGGTCCTCTATACTGACTTCCTGGTGTGGATCAACAACTTTGCACCCTATTGTCTTCCACAGGTTCTTAGAACTGTTATTACATATACATTCCTAATTTTGATCCTACCAACATCATTTGCAGGGAAGCTGCATAACAAACATAGTCTCCATCTGCCTGCTCAATATCTCCCAGGAGCTAGAACACAATTCTGTATTCACTCTTTCACTAATCAAAATTGCCATGTGAATTCATCTTTACTGAACACAAGTACCCATTCATATTCAGAAACTTAAAGTGTTTCCAAATCTGAATGAATTTTTCAATGCAATTTCAGTAATGCATCCCTAGAAGAAGGGACCTGTTGGTCCCTCTGAAGTGTAGCATTTTTAGGAAAGGGGCTGACAGAACATGAGTCCCAAAGCATAAAACCTTGGTTGTAGAGCTCAGATAGCTTTATTCGTTCATTTGGGACATTTTATCTTGCCTTTCAGTTGGCTGCTGTCAAGGTGGCTTTTCTTTAGCTTCAGGGCTGTGTGGGCCTATAATGAAGTCACCACCTCACCCAGAAGGAAAAACTGGGAATTCCTGTCACATCACATGTTTATGGTTACTTATGGGTCACAAAGAGATGTACACGACTAAACAACAAGAACAACCATGTTCAATAAAGATGAATTTGCATGCTGAAAATGAGCTGACTGCCAGCAGCTGTTGTTACTACTACTATTGCAGTCAGTCATGTCACAAAGCCTATGAGCCAAATAGTGTAGGTAGTAGCCTAGCCTGAAGTTACATTGGAGCAAGGGAGAGTATTCCTTGGATCACATTTTCCTTCTCATTACAGGAAGCAGGAAGTAATCATCTTAATTCTTTTTTAAAAAATATATATGTAAAATTCCACTTTTAATGGTAAATTGTAACGTTGGCATGGTAAAGATCATCCAAAGAAAAGGAAAAAGTCATGGGCTGAGAATCTGGTTAATATGTAAACTCAAAAGTCTTGTGTTTTTCAGGACTTTGGATACTATTAGGTTGAGCCAGGGTCGTGATCATGTTATAATATACTGGGTTACTGTTTGCTATTAAATAACCTGTTTTTCTATTCCATGTTGAACAAGACAGTTTCAGTATGGAACCCAGACTTAGCCTTTTGTTTTCCAGTGGTAAGATAGTTCCCTAACAAATGATACATAAACAGATAATTAGCTGCAATGCATTGATGACAACTGTGTTTCTGTATTTTAGCTATAAACTAGTTACTTCACAGGCAGTGTAAAGATTGTCAGAGATGAAGCTCCATAGAGAATGTAAAATGTCATCTTACTGAGTTTGTTCAAATGACTCCAAGAATACAAGGCATAAGGCATCATTGGTCCATCTAGCTCAGTACTGTCAACACAACCAGGCAGCATCTCTTCAGGTTCTTAGGCATGTATCTATTTCCAACTCTACCAGGAGATGCAAGGGATTGAACTTGGGACTTTTTGCTCCACCACTGAACTATACAGCACCTCCCCTTAATTCTTGCCAATGTTGGTAGATCTCTGGGCAATCATCTGTGTGGGTTTCCGACTCACAGTAGTTCAACAACAAGACTCTACAGCTCAATATTAGACTATTAAAATGAAGAAAGATGGGGGGGTATTTTTGTGAGAAGACTTAGCCCCTGTTCTGGTGAAAGCAAAAAGTTAATATACGTATTAGTTAGTAAGTGTAAGAGCTCCCCTCCCTGCCTATCTTGCACCTGACTCCAATTGGTAGATCTTGGAATTTAAGTAACAAGCAAAGTAGATCCTGCAGTCTACATATTCCTGCAATATAACATTTCTGATCTATTTTCTGTCACACCACATTTTGAAATGCTGAATATAAGAAATAGTAGCCTAACAGCCCTCTCCTATGTATATTTGCTTGGAAGTAAGTCGAACTGAGTCCACTAAGGCTTATTCCTAAGTGTGCATATGATTGGAACCGTAAGTCATATTATCCCTGACTATTTTTGAAAAAACAATTTGGCATTGCTAATGCCCAACCATGCTATAGGATTTGCTTTATGGTTTTAAACTGACTTGCCACAATGACTTAAATTCTCCCACACGAATGATCATGGAGCCATGGTATGGAATTGTATACAGTGGTACCTCAGGTTACAGACGCTTCAGGTTACAGACTCCGCTAACCCAGAAATAGTACCTCGGGTTAAGAATTTTGCTTCAGGATGAGAACAGAAATTGCACAGCAGTGGCGGGAGGCCCCATTAGCTAAAGTGGTGCTTCAGGTTAAGACCAGACCTCCAGAACGAAATAAGTTCTTAACCCAAGGTACCATTGTATGTTGCAAGAAAGAACCACACAGGTACATGCTCTATGCTTCAGAAGAACAAGAACAGACATGCAGTAAGGGAGCTGAGATTCTAATTGGGAAGGTGTCCAAAACACAACATATAACTAAAGAAATTAGCATTAAACTTGGGGGAAAACTCCCTTATCTATATCAATATGTTGAAATGTTCACATGATGCAGTAGTGTTTTTAAATTAAAGTTGTGCAATACCTGTCTGCAAAACACACGTACTCCCAGTTTACTCTGGGGCACATCATTATAAAATAATCTCTGTGTAGGATGTGCTATGTTTACTGTGATGTGAGATGTGTAGCACCGGTGTTTTTCACGTAACAAATCAGTCAGCCTGGGTTCAAACTGGTGTGTTCAAATGACTTTAAGATTACTGCATCTTCAGTTTCTAATTGTGACTTTCTGCTGGCCTTGAAGGTGGAAGAAGTAATGGGGAATCACCACGGTTTTGAATTTATTTCAAAGTTTTTGCTGCCATTTTAGCTCCCTCTAGAGGTAGTTCATATCTTTTCAGGCTTCATGTTTTATCAATGGCCTGGTATGCACATAACAGTAATCCAAATGATGGCTTACTGTGAACAAGAAAGTGTAATAATAATAATAATAATTTTATTATTTATACCCCACCCATCTGGCTGGATTTCCTTAGCCACTCTGTGTGCTGGTGCCCAGGGAGAAAACTGCAGCCGCTTTGTTTCCCCCCAGCTCTGCTGCTGCACATTGCAGAGCACAACCACAGCACTGTCTAGGATACATATTTATGTACCTATGTTGTTTGTATGGCTACTGTTTTCCCCATAAAGGGAGGTCTTTGCAAAATCACCTTTTCACTAAATACTCTAGAAACAGCTCTGTATCAGTATAGCTACTTCATGTTTCTTTAGAGTATATTGCCTGCTGTTCATCATCAAGCTTCTATGAGAACAAAAATATTCTCATGTTCACTCACACCTTCTCACTCCTCTCTTCTCCTCATACCCAATGACTTCTTCCTTCTTTTTCTGCTTTGACCATTTTGTCGGAACTGACCAACTACTGGCCTCAGTCTACGCACAGAGAAGAATAACATGGTAGAATACTGAAGTACTAGACTGGATTTTAAAACTTCAGAATGCAGATGCTGCTGCTGTATATTTGTAATGCCCCCATGCATAAACAAAATAAGACAATGATTGCAATTTAAAACAAATACCACTGCATATCAGGAGAGAGATTCTAGCCCAGCCTACTTCTTGTGGTGTTAGATTTTACTTACCAATAAAGTTTCAGGGTTGTTGTTTTTACATAGGAGAAGCATTCAGAAATGGTATCCCACACCTCCACCATGAAGTAATATTATCACTTTTCCATCTCAGGTCATTATCACCTTCATCCATCTCTTTTTGCTCATGTGTGGATCAGGCCTACAGTTAGCTTCAAACTATGATTGGAGGGAGGCACATGGAGGAACATAAAATTCTAAGGCTTGGCCATCTAATTGCCATTATTTCTGAATAAATACATTACATGCACATTGGTTTTACCTGTGGACTCAACATAACATCTTTGTACAGTTCAGGTCAGGTTAGAATGGTTAGAACCCTCCATTGAGAGTTCCCAAATAGATTCCACATGATTTTAAAAAAATGTTTTAGAGATTTGTTTTATAAAGATATTCCCCTAACGCTTTCAGTGATTATTTTCTTTATTTTAGCCCTTCAACATTACTGGCTTTAGAACAAGATGTGAAGCATGCAAATACTGATCCCACTGTGAAAGCTGTTGTGATTTGTGGAGCAAATGGGAAATTCAGCGCAGGTAAGAGCCTTTGAACTCATGCTTGTGTATCACCTTTTTTCTGCTCCTGTTAAAAATTAATATATTTTGCAACTCTGCACTGGTACCATGGAATCAACTGTATTCTCAGTATTTCCTGAAAATAATCCTGGCTAATTAAATGCCAGTACATTTAATCTGTACTAGCCATGCTGTAGTAATGAAAGTAGAGTTTTGGGTGCCTTTCCTTATATCTTGTGATGTCTATTGATCCTTTAACAGACCATTATTTTTAAAGGACCATAAAGTGATTTTTCTGTAACTAAAATTTCCCAGAGTTCCAAGAACTGAAGACTCATATTCATTATAGTCTCTGATGACATCAAATATTATTGTTTTCCCCTCATTCACTAATATAGTGGTTCCCAAATATTTTGGTATGATGACTCATAACCCTAATGTACTTGGTACAGTGACCCATCAGTTTATTGTCACATGAATTTTGGACCATTTGTCTTCAGCAGCCATCAGTTTCTGGCATTCCAACTGTAAATTTCTCTGTTTTGTAATTATAACTTGAGGTATCCAAGCAAAAGTGTACTTAACATTCCTGATAATGTGGAATTTGTTGAAAAGGTTAAGGAAGGTGTGACCCCATCCAAAGCAGGCAACTTACCAACTCAGGAGTGCCAGCTTGGCCTTGCGACTGTAGGTGCCCGGGGCTGTGAGTGCCATTCAGTGTGTATGGCCCTGGCGCTGAAATATGTGAGTGCTCGGCCCTTTCATGGGGAATTTTGTGGGTGCTCAGGCACCCAGGGCCCCAGCACCTATGCACCATCTCATATAACCCTGCTACCACATTTCATCTTCATAGCCTGACTCACAAAGATAGGTACTATCAAATGGCAATAGCACAGGTATTGCCTCATCATCTAGCTCAGGATATTCAGTAGCAATTGAGTAATGTGAGTAACATGAAGCCAAAATTCAGATAACCTCACTTCCCCAAAGTTTTCTTTGAGAATCATGTCACGACAGTTCACTGAGTTGTTGTTCATTTTGCACAGACAAAGACAACCTTGTAAGATTAGTTACACATGGGTTTCACATTCACTCAAACTTCTGCTCTTCAACAGAAAAGTAGTGGACAAATGTTGGCGGAACAAACTTCAAATCACCCTTGGCTAAACTATTAACTAACCCTGGCAGCAGATCCGGTGATGGTTTGCCAAAAGGTGCTCATCAGAGGCAAGCCATAACAGTCACTCAAAACAACTCCCCAAATGAGCACTTTGTGGCAAACTCTCGCTGGATCTGCCGCCGGATGCCAGAGCAGTGTTTTTAAAAAAGTAAGACTCAAGCCTTTCCTACATTTGGTTACAAGTGACAACAGAGCATTATAATATGCCAACAAAACAAAATGCTGTTAGAGGTTTCATCATACCAGTTAAGTATTAAAAGCAATAATTAATTTGGGTTTGCTTATAAAACCCAGTGACCCACTTGCACAGGTTTGGAAAACACTGCTCTAACCTGCCTTTATCTTGACCTTGCTTATAATGGCTACATTTGCCTATGTTAAAGTTTACGTTTTGTTGGCCCTTTTGTCATTAATTGGATCTGTTTGCATCATCGACTTAACCCTAGAACTTGCTAACCATCTAACCCTTGTATCTGGTTTTGTGTTAACTCCACTAGTGATTAAATTTTCCTTGATTGTCAGTAGATGTTGAATGTAATTGGACGCAGCAGATCAATGCAAGATCCTATACTAGAGACCCATAGTGGGAATTCTTATTGACTTGACACCTGCCTGTATATAATTTATTGAATGAGTTCTTTGATTTTGTCTCTTAAAAAGCATTATGAATGTCTCAAGAGCAGGTTCACTATCTGCTATGCAAGTGTAGTTCCATTGCTTTGAAAGACTGACCACATGACTGAAAGTGAACAAAAAGCAACCCTAGAAACCCACAGATAACCTTCCATGGAGCAATGCCAGTATCCACCCTTAATAAATTACCCACTAGATATATTACATCTCAACACAATTTTTGTAGTCTGTTTTTCTGCCATGAAATTTTGCTTCAAGCGGCATAGATTTCTGCAAAGTATGATTCAGCTAGGCTATTTTCTTCTAGTTTTCATACATAAGTTTTTCCTAATAAAGCAATATGGGAATTTCAGTGGTTCCACAATTACAAGTGGCTTCTCCATTATTTGTGGCTTCTCCATCGCCAAGTTCTGCAGAGAGTCCCAAAGACAGAAAATGTAGGATATGCTTTCAGGAAACAATGTTTGTACACCAAATTGAATCTTTAACATCTGTACTTTTCACCATTCTTGAAGTCTGTGAATCTGCCCTGTTGTTGGTTGTCATCTACCAATTTGAAGAAGGGTTTATCTGGATAGTTTATTTGAAGGGATCGTATATATATTCATGGTTTTGCTCAATTTCTTTAGGTGCTGATATCAAAGGATTTCCCAGAATCGGTCAAGAAGACATGCCCAGCTTGGGAGCAGTAGTTTCTCTGATAGAGAAGAGTGAAAAGCCAGTGGTGGCTGCTATTGAAGAGGTGGCTTTTGGAGGAGGCCTGGAAGTAGCACTGGGCTGTCATTACAGGATTGCAAATAAGCAGGTACAATGATTTTTTAAAAAACAGCTTAGATAGGTCAGCTTGTTGGAAGGGCTCCTTAATATATGTTCTCTCCATAAGTTTGAACTTGGAATATTACTTCCAACCTACACACCACCCAGAGACATTAGAGTCATAACCCAGGTAAAGGATACCTATTTATCATTAAAGACTATGACATCATTGATAAATGAGAGTGATGTAGCTCCACATCCCCGCCCCCTCTGTTTTCATTCAGTTTTGTTTGGTTTTTTGTTCTTGGGTGCTATTGAAGTGTATGTTCTTGTTTAAATAAATAAAAAAATATATTATAAACCCCAGTAACTCTCTAACCAAGCATCACAAATATCCAATCTTTGTTCCAGGCTCGGGTAGGTTTACCTGAGGTCACAATAGGCTTACTTCCTGGTGCTGGTGGGACTCAACGACTTCCCAGACTGATTGGAGTACCAGCTGCACTTGAAATCATCACCACAGGTAAGCTCCTCCAGATGTGAATACTAACCATACAGGGGTCAAGTATATTAATACAGTGGTACCCCGCAAGACGAACGCCTCGCAAGACGGAAAACCCGCTAGACGAAAGGGTTTTCCGTTTTGGAGGCGCTTCGCAAAACGAATTTCCCTATGGGCTTGCTTCGCAAGACGACAGCCCATAGGGAAATCTCCGGGACAGCGGGGAAGTGCAGCGCGTCTTCCCCACTGTCCTCGGACCTCCTCCGAAGCCTGGCGGCGGGGCGGGGACACCTCCTCCCGCCGCCGCCGGGCTTCGGAAGGCTCCCCGCCGCCCGCCTTCAGATCAGGTCCGGGGACAGCAGGAAGACGCGCTGCGTCTCCCAGCTGTCCCCGGAGCTTGCGGGCAGGCAGCGGGGAGAAGCGCTCTTCTCCCCGCCGCCCGCCTTGAGATCAGGTCTGGGGACAGCGGGGAGACGCGCTGCGCCTCCCAGCTGTCCCCAGAGGTTGCGGTGCAGGCAGCAGGGAGAAGCGCTCTTCTCCCCTCCGCCCGCCTTCAGATCAGGTCCAGGGACAGCAGGAAGACGCGCTGCATCTCCCAGCTGTCCCAGGAGCTTGCGGGGCAGGCAGCGGGGAGAAGCGCTCTTCTCCCCGCCGCCAGCCTTGAGATCAGGTCCGGGGACAGCGGGGAGACGCGCTGCGCCTCCCAGCTGTCCCCGGAGCTTGCGGTGCAGGCAGCAGGGAGAAGCGCTCTTCTCCCCTCCGCCCGCCTTCACATCAGGTCCGGGGACAGCAGGAAGACGCGCTGCGCCTCCCAGCTGTCCCCAGAGCTTGCGGTGCAGGCAGCGGGGAGAAGCGCTCTTCTCCCCTCCGCCCGCCTTCACATCAGGTCCGGGGACAGCAGGAAGACGCGCTGCGTCTCCCAGCTGTCCCAGGAGGTTGCGGGGCAGGCAGCGGGGTCTCCCCGCCGTCAGCCTCCAAACCACTTCGGGAGACAGCGGGATGGCGGCGTTCCGCTTCCCTCTGACCCCCGACCTTGTGGTGCTGGCGCTGGGGCTCTCCTGAAGCCTGGAGAGCGAGAGGGGTTGGTGCTCCGAAGCCGAGCGGCGGGGCGGGAACACCTTCTGAAGGCGGGCGGGGGGCGAAAGTCTTTGCCCCCCCCCCCGCCTGCCTTCAAAAGCCGTCCGGGACAGCTGAGAAACGCGCTGCCTTTCTCCGCTCTCCCAGGAAGGCAGGCAGGGGGGAGCAAAGACTTTCGCCCCCGCCCGCCTTCAGAAGAGGTCCAGGACCTCTTCTGAAGGCGGGCGGGGGGCAAAAGTCTTTGTCCCCCCTGCCTGCCTTCCCAGGGGCTTTTAAATCGCCCCGGACAGCGGAGAAGTCCTCCGCTGTCCCGGGCGATTTTAAAATGCCGCCCGCCAGCATTTTAAGATCGCCCCGGACAGCGGAGAAGCCCTCCGCTGTCCCGGGGTTTTTTAAAATGCTGGGGGTGGGAAGAAAAGCCCTTGTTCCCCCCCCAGCCTTCAGAAGAGGTCGGGGGACAGACTGTCCCCGGACCTGGTCTGAAGTCAGTTTCCATAGGAACGCATTAATTGATTTTCAATGCATTCCTATGGGAAACCGTGCATCGCAAGACGAAAAACTCGCAAGACGAAGAGACTTGCGGAACGAATTAATTTCGTCTTGCGAGGCACGAGGCACCACTGTAGCTGGATAACTATACTGACATTACAAGATAATGCAAGTGACATGTTAGAAAATGGCCATGACAAGCACACACTATGTATGTATAAGGTCCTAAGTTTGATCCCTGAAATTTCTAAGTAATAAGATGTATATAAGGTCACAAAATTGGACATTCAGACTGTTTTTGGTGGAGTTGCACGCCCCTTAGGAATCACTTCACAAGTCCCATCAGTGGAAGGATTTGAGCTTGCACAACAGGGCTTCCCGACTCTCCTCCCCCATGCCCCCCCAATGGCTCTGGGTTAGGGTTAGGAGAACCCCCCAGAATAGTGCATGGGGAGAGGAGAGGGAGTGATGATTCCATCTGCCAAGCTGCAATTTTGCGCAGACAGAACAACTGGAAGAGTGTGGCATTGCATTGTGCCCTATATTTCTATCCCACTTTTTAGCTAGAGTCCTCAAAGTAGCTAACAACATTTATAAATGCAACAGATACACAAAGACCCACATGCTTAAAACAAACAAACAACCAGACCCACTGGAACTGGAACTGGCTGCAGATAATCCTTCCTGCATGGCAGTTACTATAAGTTGGCTCAGGGTGAGGGAGTCCAAGTGGTATAGGTCCCAATCTTGTCGCTGCCTGCCTCCCTTGTTCAACTGGAGCAAACCCTGATGTTGTCTTGTCTGCCTTCCTCACTCTCCTTCCTTCCCACTTCTTCATGCCAGGAAGACATGTGCCAGCAACTGAAGCGCTGAAACTGGGAATCCTAGATGGGGTTGTGGAAGGAAAAACAATCGAAGCGGCCATAAACTTAGCAGAAAGAGTAGTAGGTAAGAGTTCTTAACTGTACTGGGCAGCAGCATAACACATGAGGCATGACCTGAAGCCCAGCCTTAATATAAGCCATAGACAAATATCAGTGAAAATATTTATTTAGCAGAGCAATCCTATGCATGTTTATTCAGAAGTGTTGAGTAGGGCTCCTTCTCCGGTACATAAGTGTGCATAGGACAGTAACCTTACTAAGGTACAACACTGGAATGGTACAAAGCCCTGATACACTGGATAGTTGGTGGAAAATATTAAGACTGTATTACCAAATCATAAATATCCATACAAAAATCCTTGGTTAACTTGATGCCTTGCCAATTAACTGGTGGAGCTGTTTTATGTTTTTGTTTTTCAAATAAAGCTATAGGATTCTGAATATTGATGATCAAGGGATTCCAAAAACATTGCTTTTTTCAAAATAATCACATGACTAAGGTAGGAATTCATGCAGCCTTAGTTGTCCTTAGTTAATATAACCTTGTTCTCATAGGGGTGGAAGAGCGTTCCCTGAAGTGTTACTCTAGTTGTTCGCATTTATTGCTGATCATGGAAAATTTTTATTGGACCTTTATTGTCTTATTGTTTATTGTGTTTTTATTTTAACATATTCAATGTTAGGTAGTATATAAATGTTGTAAATATATGTCTGAAAATAGTAATTCATGTCAGGTGTGGGGAATCTGTGGCCTTCCAGATGTTGATGGACTACAACTCCCATCATCCCTGACTATCCTTGGCCATGCTGGCTGAAGCTGATGGGAGTTGGGAGTCCAACACCATCCGGAGAGCCATAACTTTCCCAGTCCTGTAATATTTGCCATCATAGCACTGAATGTCCTCCTGTGTTCCACCAAGGCTCTTTGCCTGGGTCTGCTAAAACATAGGAGTTACAATACCCCTGGCAGGCCAAAAAACACGGCTCAAGGCTTTGGAGGGTGTGTGAAACCCACTCCCAAAAGAGGTAAACACTCCCCAAGGAAGATTGGGAGCCTTCCAAGCAAATACTTTCTATAACCTGCACAAAACAATCTGCTAGGCTGCTAATCTGGTTTTGCAGTTATGAACTTCTTTCTGTGGTTAAACTAAATCTTTCTGTTTCCACCATTTGCAGCTAAAGCAGTTTCCATATATTTGTCTGTTTACTTCTTTGTTGGTATCCAGGCATCTGCTGTGCAGTGAGTTAAAGGACAAATGCCAGCAGGACCCTACAGCAGCACCTGAGGCCTGTCTGGATCACTGAGCAGCACATTCCTTGGTGCATATACCTTGTGAAAATGTGTCTATGCGGAGTCAGTGTCAACAAATGGCTGGCCTATAATTTTGGAGTCGAGCGTCATTACTGCCAGTTGTAATGAAAATTGGTTATAAATTTTAAAACAGAGGCACGCTTGTGACTGAGCGGGTCTAATAATCACACCGTCAAGAAACTCCTATTTTACAAAACACAAGCAAGCTTAATGCGACAAACATAACATGGCCAACAGGTGACTGGCAGCACAATCCTATACATCCCTACTCAGAAGTAAGTCCCACTGAGCTTAAGTGGTGCCACTGACACTTACCACAGTTGGAGTAGCACAAGCACCAGATTGGCTGCACTGGTGTGCTTGTGTAGCTCTGATCTCATTGCTGCCCTGTCCGATACCAGTAAGTGACAGCAACACTGCTGTGGGAAGGGAGGCTGTACACTCCTGCCCTGTCATGCTGGTCATTCCTGGTAAGAGAGTATAAGATGGCAGCCAATGGCTGCCATCTTGTGCAGGCTGTCGACATGCAGAGTCTTTCATGAAGACTTAAAAAAACCAACCACTAACTGACTTATGAACTGATGAAGAAAGGTGGTGAACTAAGCTAAAGGGTGGGAAAATGAGAAACTAGGAGAAACCAAAATGGACAAATTCATCTATTCCTACTAGGGAATAAATCCCACTGAAACCAAAGGGGCTTGCTTTTGAATAAACATGCACAGGGTTGCCCTGTGATCCTGTTCCACAGATTACTCAAGTGGTGTGCGACTTGCATCTCTGTAAAAAGGAGGGGGGTGTATTTTCAATTCAGCTAGATGTCTCGTGAGCAAGGAACAGAAAACGTATTTGGGGGGAATATGTTTGCATCAGCTGTTTTTAACATCACACTATTCACTTTGTCCACCTGATGGCACTAAAACCTGGAAAATAATGCTGCTTTCAGCAAATACAGTCAATTTATCAGAGTTCCATAGTTCTTTGTGTTCATGGAGGCAGCTACTGTGCCATTGTTCAGATGAAGTCTGAACAGTGGCTGCCTTTTAATACTAGGCTTTTTGAAGGAATGATGGGGCACAAATGTAAAAAAAAATAATGGTTACCATTTAGCTGTTGGTAATTCTACCCGTGACACAACAAAGTTCGGAGTGTTTCAGCGCCCAGTAATTTGTATGTCTGAGGAAGGTTTCCTGCAAAGCAGACCTTACTGTAATTATGTTGCCATAATTTTTCAATGGCGTTTCAAGTGGAGTTTGGGGGAGGTGAGCCTCCAGCTCTTGTCTGGGTGGGTCCCCTGCCAAAAAAACAAAAAACTCCTCATCGCCTCTAAGAATCAATTGGAAAAGATCAGTAATTGCTGACAATAAGTGTGTTTGCATTGGGTTTGGGGTGGGGCTCAGATGCACTCCTATAGCGCACATTTCACTACCTACAGTCCACAGATGGTCCAGATGGTCACCTCTGGCAGGTAGGGACAAGTATAGGTTGTGGTATCTGTGGAATTTAAAGTAAGTGGTAGACTGTCACTTTGAGAAGATTACCTCCTGAACATTGATATATAATAGATATATGGCGTAAAACAGGGGAGGGAAACATCTGGACTGCAGGCACCAGTCCCAGTTTGGCCTGTGAGGCTGTTTCCCACAAACCATGCCCACCTACCCAGTACATGATGTCAGGTATGGGGCAGGTATGGCCATGGATAGAAGGGACCACTTGGGAGAGGAACGATTCTATATTATAGAATAGATGTACTGAACTTGAAGCAGGAGAAATCCCGCTAGAAACACTCAACTGTTTTTTTTTTTAAATCTTTTGCCAACACCACCACAACAGAAATCTCTCTGCATCAAATTAGGCAAGTCCAGACAAGTACTTTTCTTCAAGGGACCAGATGATATATGGCACTTCCTGGCCATTCTTGTGTTCTCACTTTCCAGTTTCTTCTGCTTCCAGCGGCTCCGTTTCCCTATGGATTGCCCTGCCTTTACAGTGAATCCTAAATAACCAGGTGTTTGCATGTTGTAAATGAGCCTTTTGATATATGCGGTTGAAGTCCTTGTACCATAAGGTGGTATACTGAAATACCTGGATATATTTTCTCACCTTTCTTTTTGTAAAGGTTTGAGAGAGTTATGTCCCATAAATAATGCAATGTATATTATCTTGGCTTTTTCTATATTGACAGTAACATGAACTACAAAGAGATCACCCTCATCATTATCAACAATCTTGACAATATTTTCTCCTACCTCTATCTCCTAAACAAAAGAAGAAAGAAACATGCAGCGTGTTTCAGAGACTGCTGTTTTGTAGAACACTCAAAATATGTGATCTAGGATTGTGATTGGAATTTAAAATGTTGTGTATTTCTTAGGTCAGATTTCAGGGGAGATGAAAATATTTAATATGGCTCAATTTAGATTGCCTCCGTTTTTAATATACTTTTGGAAAATGCTTAAATTCTTTACTGCAGTGAGGTTTTGAAATTCCTCTCTGCAAGCATAAGGGTTAGAATATCCCTTTTTACACTTTTTTTTTAAAAAAAGTGTAAATAAATATTAAATACTCTAGGTGGTAAGTTCCATTGAACTTAGTGCTTATAAGTAAACATACCGTACTTTAAAAATACTTATCTGGATTCATTTCAGTCTGAGTCAGGCACAGTTTTAGGACCAAACAATCTTGGTCACCCTGATGTATCCTATGTTGAGAGCAGGGCATGGAGAATATGGCTCTGCTTCTGCTTCTGAGTCTGTCAACAGCTTTTGATTCCATTGACTATGGAATCCTCGTAAGGTTGGCAGTTCGAATCTGTGTGATGGGGTGAGCTCCCATTGCTCTGTCCCAGCTCCTGCCAACCTAGCAGTTCGAAAGCATACCAGTGCAATCAGATAAATAGGTACTGCAGCAGTGAGAAGGTAAATGGCATTTTTGTGCATTCTGGCTTCTGTCACGGTGTTCCGTGCACCGGAAGCAGTTTAGTCATGCCGGCCACATGACCCGGAAAGCTGTCTGTGGACAAACACCAGCTCCCTTAGCCTGAAAGTGGAGTTGAAGGCCGCACCCCATAGTCAATTTCAACTGGAGTTAATTGTTCAGGGTCCTTTACTTCTAAGTTTTCCCTCCTGGACCAACTCTGTGGGATTGGGATTGATGGCACTGTTTTACAGTTGATCCACTCCTACCTACAGGGCCGTGTCCAGAGAGCTGCATTGTGAGACTGTGTTTCACCTGCAGACGGACAAGAATTTAATTTTAGTTTATCAGGAAAAGATATGGACTGACTAGTTTTGTCGTCTTGATTTCTCTGTCCCTACAGGACAGCCGTTGGGCCCTCGCAGGCTCTGCCAAAAAGAAACTCCCAAGCTACCCAACATGGAAGCCGTTCTTGATGCAGCTTTTGTGAAGGTGAAGAAGCAGGCCAATGGGTGCCTCTCGCCAGAAATGTGTTTCCATGCTGTAAAAGCCTCTGTGTACCTGCCATTTGCAGAAGGAATTCGCAGAGAAAGGGAGCTGTTCATGTTCCTCTTGACTTCAGGGCAGGCTAAGGCATTGCAATATGCCTTCTTTGCACAAAGGTTGGTGGAGAAGTGGGCATTGCCCAGTGGAGCATCTTGGAAAACTGCAGTCCCTCAGCCAGTCCGGAGAGCAGCTGTGATAGGTAAGACTATAGGATTCCATGAGTTAAGTTCATTTCTTGATATCTTGTTCTCAGTAGCAGTTGTAAAGTTCCTATTTTGTTCCCTGTTCATTCTTAAGCGTCACCTAATTTGCATGCAGGAGATCCAAAATTGGTGTATCACCTCTTCAGTCCTGGCTTCTCTTCTCAGTAGCTGCATCACTGTTTAAATATCCTGGAGCTCAGCCTTCCTTTGAATCTCGTCGCCTTGCTTCTACTTCAGGTTGCCACCTCTAATTCTGGACAGCTTGATACGCCTTTTTGTAAATATTCCAATACAGGGGGAGAAAAGGAAACCAATGGCCCATTATCCCTTCCTCTTCTGTGATAAGTTAAGTAGAGGGAGATTGTTTTGCTCAGCCAGTATAATAATAATGCATTGACTCTATTAAATTATTTTGTTTGGAATATGATCTTTGAAAGTAGGTCTTCTGCAACAGATGCAGAAGATATTTTTGTCAGGTGTCATGCGGAGGTGACAGAAGGTGCACCTACACCTACACAGCCCATAAAAGCTCCTTTGCTTCTGGCCACCATGGGTAAAAGTTCAGCAAGAAAAAGGGGCTGTCAGGCTTGGGTTTTCAAAGACTGCTTTTCCCTTGCACAGAGGCTGTTTACTGAAACGTACTTAATCATTTGAGGAAGTATTCATCCCAATATGTTTTGTTGACAAGTACCTTTTAAGAAGCTTTCATCTCATTGTAGCGAGCCACTCTTCCCATTTTGCCGTCTCCTATTTCTCTCACCCCCCCCCAAATAATGCCTTCATTAATTTTTTATACAGGCAGCTGAAATAAAGCTCTTTGATGCACTGCACAGATCTCTCAACAGTCCTTTGCCGTTCTGCATATTGATCGGTATACTCAGTGGGAGACAGCTCTCTAAGTAGCCCAGCCCTCAGCAATGCCCCTTTGATTTTTAAGAGACTGCCAGCCATCTCATCCCTCCTGTATCCCTCCCTCCCCCAGTTATTAGATACAGGATGTGCTTTGCTGCAGTGGGTGCAACCCGAGCTCTCTGCAAGCTCACCTCAGCACAAGGTAGCCTTGAGGACTGTGGCTTCATATGCCCCTTTGCTTCTTCCACTTTGCAATCTTAATTAACATTCTCTGCATGATTCATACCCCTTTAGAGCAAAAATCTCTATGTCGTCAGTTACATCTGCCAACAAGCCTGAACTCTCAAGTTGCTATGAACTCATCCACTGGAGAACTGACATTCATGTTAAGCAGCATGGAGCCTGAAGCTCAGCACATGTGGGAGCGATGTGGTTTATTGTTCAGTATGCAGTCGTAAATGTGTGTCGACCTGATCTGCATTACCACATGGGCTTTGGTGGGAACAGTCTCCATTTTGAGTTTCATGGGAAATCATAAATGACAGGTTTGCTGCTAGACAAGTGACAGATATGCAAAATGGATATGTCTGTTATGGAAATACAGATACAGGTCAAAACAGAAATATTAATTCTGAATTATCATTGGAATGGAATGGAGCAAGAATAGCTTGCCCAGAGGAGGATCTTACTCCAAGCTAATATTAATCTAGAGAATATGTAGTAGAAACACTAGCATCTACCAACATCTGTTCCTCATGTTGGCACCTTATTTGCATATTCTTCAGAGACTACAAAGAACTTTGAAATAAACCAGCACTTTAATTGAACATTTACAATCTGAACATGTTTCAATACATTTTAAGCCTACTGAATTTTCTGTAACAAGTTTTCCATCATTATACATGGGTCACTGTGCGTTGCTACAAACTTGCTTCACTGCTTCGAGCAAACTGAATCTGAAATGCTTTTAAGGCAGTGTAGGATGAATTTTGCATGACTGACTGCTGCTTGAGCATATCTGGTGCTCAGCTACCTAATAAATTGATTTGGCCCTCTTTTGCTGTAATATACAGAAGCAGGGTGTGGGTGTTAATTTGTAAGGACACCATTATTGAAATGAAGGTAACGACACTTGTCTGTGGTGGCTGCAATATATATAACACCGCTTCCCCTGCCCCTGCAAAACTTGAATGTGATCCAAGTCTTCTATTCATTGCAATGGGTAGTGCTTCATTTGAGTCTGGGCTTCAGTATTAGACCTAAGGCTCTCTTTAAAGAGCCAGTGTTGGGCCCTGCCATTTGATTCTCCATCAATCTTCTGCATTAATTAAAACTGGTTTTCTCAGATTCTTCTGAAGCTAAGGTTCTTCTGCGTATAAAGAGACTTTGCATCCTTCCCCACTAACAGCCAAATTTGGAGAGATTCATAAACAAGATCGTGTGTGTATGTGTTTAAATAAGGTGGAATCGTACCTATAGATATAACTATGATTCAGATTTGGTCCACAGCAGTGGGCAGCAGAGTTTTTTTAAAAACAATTTCCCCAATGAGCTCCCCCCCCCCAAAAAAAAGCTGTTGTATGCATACAGGGATCCAGCTGGAAATCAACCATACAACTAGAAAACAACTACAGTGGGAACTGAGGTCAGATCAACTACATTAGATGACCTAGAGGGGGAAAGGACTTCCAGAAGTAGTAGGAAACATTTAAATAGAGACAAACAGGTTCCAGCTTTTCTTTTGTGTCTTTGATCTTGTAAACTCTTTATTCAGTTATTTTTCATCCCACAGTATACTGGAGGACTGAGCCAAATTGCTACCTTGTTTGACCCGCATTACTAGGAATTGATCTTGTTTTACTGACGGCATAATTTCAGCTATTCTTCATAAAGCTGCTTTAGATTAATTTTTTAATCCCTGTGGTTTGTATTTCTTTGTCCAGCTAAAACAAGTCACATTCATAAACCTGATAATATGGGCCATGGGTTTTTTAAATAATTAAATCACTGTACAGCAAAAGTGTTAGTCACATAGTTTTGACCCCTTTAGCAAGCCTCAGACATTGACAGCTGGTTCTAAATATTGTTTATTACAAAGTTTCCTCATTCTGATCTTTGGCCCCTGCAGTACAAAGGGATTTTGATCTGATCCTCATCAGGTAGCTGTCCCAGAACACAGATTGAGAAGCTGTCGAAATATAAAATCAGTGGGCTGAAACTAGAATGTATTGAGCATTTAGCAGGCCAGCCTAGATAGCTATGTCACTGAGGAAGCACCATGTGTAAGGCTCCATAAAGCTTGGAGCAGAAGGCTTTTGGGGAACATTGACTAATAGCAGTTTGATGCAGCCTTTCTGGAATAAATGAAGATCAATAGGTTTTGAAAGCATGCTCCACATGCAAGAAGGTAACCACCACACTTCATGACAGAAAAGATGGTTAATCAGACAAAAAAGGTCACTTGATTGTGAGGAATTCCTATTCTGCTACAACTTTATGTTGGCTGCATTCTGATATGATGGTACACCATAGTTTGTATTATGAATACAAGCATCCAAGAGCCTTAGGCTTGCACATTCCCTCATCTTCTTCTTTCTATAGGTGGAGGAGACTAGAAGTATCTAGTAGGGATTTGCAGCCATTTTGTCCAAACCTAATACCTATGATTTGTGTAAAAATATAGTTTGCTGGAGTTTGGCAAAACAGCAACTATGAATTGCTACATAGCTTATCTCCTCCACTCATGCATAGAGGAAGAAAAGGAGGAGTGCAATTTCTAGTAGCTATTGAACAGACTCCCCTATGAAATGCATAATCCCAACTCACTTGCACAGACATTAACGCTGCTTTCCATCTTCAGCCTTGCAGTAGTTTCTTTACATTCTAGGATGGTAATGTTAATTCAAATGTGGATCTTCTCAATGGTTTCCCCCCTCAATTTATTTGCCTATATTGTAAGTTAAAAGATTGCCTAATAAGCTCCTCTCTGTAGAACATTTCTAATTATTCCTTCTCTTTTCTCTCCCTGCCCTTTTTATCACAAGGTTTAGGGACAATGGGACAAGGCATCGTGGCATCTCTGGTCAAGGCTAAAATTCCTGTAGTGGCTCTTGAACAGGATAAAAAGCATTTGGAGCTGGCTAGAGGAACCATCACTGCTCTTTTAGAACGGGAAGCTTTAAGAATGCAACAGAATGGCCAAACACTGGCTGCCTCTATGCCTGGTTTGCCTCAGTTCACACTGGATTTTGGTGCACTGAACGATGTAGATATGGTTATTGAGGCCGTATATGAGGATATGGCTCTGAAGAAGGAAATCTTCCAGAAGTTATCAGCAGTCTGCAAACCTGAGGCCTTCCTGTGCACGAACACCTCTTGCCTTGATATTGATGAGATTGCTTCTGTCACAAACCGCCCTCAGCAAGTTATTGGTACCCACTTCTTCTCACCAGCTAATAGAATGAAGCTACTAGAGATAATCCATGGTCAGCGAACATCTCCCAATGCCATTGCCACAGCCATGAGAGTTGGCAAAGCTATGGGCAAAATTGGGGTTGTGGTAGGGAACTCTTTTGGTTTTGTTGGGAACCGAATGTTGAATTCTTACACTGAGCAAACATACTTCCTCTTGGAAGAGGGCAGTACTCCAGAGGAAGTAGACAAAGCTCTGGGGGAATTTGGTTTCAAAATGGGTCCCTTCCGTGTTTCAGACCTTGCTGGGCTTGATGTGGGCTGGAGATCTAGGAAAGGGCAAGGTCTTACTGGACCCAGCCTGCCTCTTGGGACACCTCCTCGTCAACGAGATGGAAGACGATACAGCCCACTCCCTGATATTCTGTGCGAGAAGGGGAGATATGGCCAGAAAATTGGGAAGGGTTGGTACCAATATGATAAACCCGGGGGAAGGGTAGCAAAGTCAGATCCGTGGCTTCATAGTTTTCTTGCTGAGTACAGAAATGCTCATGGTATTTCAGTACGCACCATTAGCCAAGATGAGATCCTGGAACGCTGCCTATATTCCCTTGCCAATGAGGGTTTCCGGATATTATCTGATGGAATAGCTTCTTGTCCAGAAGCTATTGATACCATCTACATCAATGGCTACGGCTGGCCCAGACATAGGGGTGGTCCCATGTTTTATGCTTCTGAGGTAGGGTTACCTACGGTTCTAGCAAAATTGCAGAAGTATGCTGAAGCTAATCCTGACATACCCAAACTACAGCCTAGTGCCTTTCTGCAGAAGCTTGTAGCCTTGGGCAGCCCTCCTCTGAAAGAGTGGTCATCACTTGTGGGAACTCAGAACAGCAAGTTGTAATTGCACTGCAAGCAGTCTGGTTTTCCCATTCTAATATTTTTGACTGTTCCAGTCCAGACTAAAACACAGCGCATTGTAGAACACTGTCAGTGTCTCTTCTGATTCTAATACAATGTACACATCTATGTATCCTGCCTATGTGAGTGAAATATTGCTGCTTGCAGCGTGCTTTTTATCATGCCTTCTTGAAATTGTGCCTGAGGGTCTCACTTGAAAACATAATACTTTCATGTCTAATGAAACTACTCAGCCTCTCCATGAGGAGAGCTTGAAAAATGCAGTGTATGTGACTTTCTGCACCCACTGTTTTTTCCTCCATTTCTTTGTTGACTACATTTAAAGTCGACCTGCCCATGAGGCTGGGTGAGGCAGCCACTTCAGGTGCCCACCCCCTCAAGGGGTGTTACCCCCATTCTGCCGCCCAGCTTTGCTGCTGGTCTCCCTGGACTCTGGGGCAAAGAGGGACTGATGCCAAAGCTCTGTGGAAGGCCTCTCCCCCTGCCAAGTCGACAAAAGGAGAAGCGTTCCTCCACCCAGCTTTGCCACTGGGCAGAGGTAGAGATTCCCACACACACACCTGGTGGTGTAGTGGGGCTTTGCGCTGGCTTCTCCTGAAGGGAGGAGCTGATGCAAAGCCCCACTGCCTGGCAGGAGATAGTTCCAAAAAAATTCAGAGGAGGGTATCTCAATTCCACCTGCTTCTGATAGCTATCATTCTGACCTCTGCTCTTCCACAGTTAATGTGTGCTAAGTAAAAAGGACCACTTCAAAGATGAAATGCAGTGAAGTGGATAAACACTGCTGAGGAGAAATGTGGCTGAGGAACAGAACTCTCAGCCTTGGAAAGCTCAGTTCCACCTTCTTACACATTGATGGTGGCCAATGAATCTCAGCAACTGATGCTTCAAATGCTCTTCAGTCTAGCGTAAACAAGTGCCTTGTTCTTGCTGTCTGCCTTTTCTAAATCAGTGTCTCCTCTCCTTTTCAAACCCGTGTGATCTCCAAATTCCTCAGTCTGTTTCTCTTACATAATTTGGAATTTCTGTATCAGCAAGTACAGAATAAGTGCCTTCAGGAACACTGATTTTAGGGCCTGCTGGAAATAATGTATCTCAGGGATTCCATAAGCACCAATGGTGCCAGCAAAAAGGGCTTCCAAGAGTGCCCTACCAACCTCTGAGTCTGAATTACAGTGCTGAGGCCATAAGATTGTCCAAACTTTTCTTCTCAGACTAATTATTTCTGGAATCCAGGAAATCAAAAGTAAAATCACCAAGATTCAGCAAGGATTTTTCTCCCTAAATAAAGCTATTTTAATTAATCACATGTGCCTTTCTACAATGTCCTTTCCTGATCTCACACTCAAAACTAGTATCACAAAGCACCTAGAACTGGGGCTGGGAATCGCCAGCCCACTGGCCAAATTTGGCCCACCAGGCTGCCTCGTTTGGCAAATCACACCGTGGTGAACTTGGGTCTTTGAAATTTCAGCGGCTCCTGGTGCGAGGCCAAAATTTGCTGCTCCCCTGCCTCTCACCTTCCATACATCATAGTTGCAACACCATGAGGTGCCCTCTGGGCTCAGCACCCAGTGCGGTGGAACTAGTTATGCTGCCCTAAATCCGCCTCTGGTTACTCCCAGGGCTTGGCCAAAGGGGGCTGTGCAGGCATTGCCAATATGGCAGGCCTCAAGATGCTGAATTTTCTATTCATGATTATTCAGAAGATCTGGTGACATGTATTGGTTAATAACATTAGACAAGGAGACCCGGGTTCAAATCCCCACAGCCTTGAAGCTTGGTAGGTGAGGTTTTAGCCAAACGTACCTCATGATGTTTGGAGAATAAAATAGGAGAGGGACTGTGTATGTTCCTTAGAGAATTGGTGGGATAAAAATGTTCTAAATAAATTCAAACAGTGGATTGTGCATCCTTCTCTCATGCCACTCAGCCTTGAAATGACCACACAATATTGCATTAATGTGCTAGCCACAGGATAGTAACTAGAACTAATATGTTACTTTCTCAGAAACAGAACCAAACTATAACTTCCCTCCCTCCACAATGGGTTTCAGTTCTAAGTAGTTTCTGAAATTCATCTCCTTCCTCTTAAACCTAGCTGCCTCCTTAGGGTATCCACATGTAAGAGGGTTCTTGTGCTTGTTAGACTTTCATAGAAGGAAGAATTTCATGTGTTGTGGCTTTCCCCATCATTGTACTCTGGTGAAGTGGGAATTTGCACCAGCTAGAATCTTTCTGTGCATCCCTTTAAATTATAGACAGCCTCTCCAGGATAGACTTGGCAACCCTTTGCCCCTCTTGCCTGTCTGGTCCACACTTCTCTGACTTCCAACACACTTTCCATTCTTGGCAACAGTGCATAACCATTCTTAGACCTACTTTGGGTCCTGCATAGCTTGTCTGCAGCCCCATCTTTTTACTTGCCCCAGTTTTGTTCACATCAATGCCTTTGCTGCCATTGTTTTAAGTCCCTTATTTTCCTGCCAGTGCCTAGTTGGTTCTGTCTCCTAAAAGCTGCCCTGGCTCTCAGTCAACATCCTGCATTGCTCAGTGTTTTGTTTGTCCCTGTTCCCCTCTTGCCAAAACACTAGAATTTCTCATGTCCTTAGACACTGTGAGCTTTTTCCAAAGCTCTTTCCATCCCTGCCAACAGCTCACAACCATTCCTTGTCTTAGGCCCTGGACAGCTTGCCTGTAGCCCCATCTTCTTGCATGGCCCTCATTGGACATAATTTCAGCCATTTTCACTGCTTGTAGTTGAATAGACTCTGAAGGATGTTGGCCCAACAGAGAGTTCCCCAGTCAGTCAAGCAGCAGAAGAGGAGCTTGAGGTGAAGGCTGAGGTGAGGTAGGAGTTTAGGAGTGTGTTTCTGCTACTAGTGAAAGAGCCTATGATAACAGCTTTCTTTGACGGCATCGCCATGTGCAAGATAGTGCTGCATATGAAAAATTCACTAGCTATTGGTACCACAGACTCTTTTCCTTGCCAGCCTCAGAAGAGCAATGAGGCAGTCTAGGTCAAGGCAGTACAGTGGTACCTCGGGTTAAGTACTTAATTCATTCCGGAGGTCCATTCTTAACCTGAAACTGTTCTTAACCTGAAGCACCAATTTAGCTAATGGGGCCTCCTGCTGCTGCTGTGTCATCGGAGCACGATTTCTGTTCTCATCCTGAAGCAAAGTTCTTAACCCGAGGTACTATTTCTGGGTTAGCGGAGTCTGTAACTTGAAGCATATGTAACCTGAAGCGTATGTAACCCGAGGTACCACTGTAGTAATGGTTAGGTGAGAGGGGTGAAATTCTGACACACATAAATCCAGATTTCCTGCCTGATACAACAGCTTCACCCTACTCATGACTGAAGGCCAGTATTTTGCACTAGCCATGCAGTTCCTCCAGAAGTCACAATATAGAAAACCAGTGCTTACACCTCTAAAAGAATAATTGCAACTTATATTACAATACGCAGCTAAAGCTTTTTAACAACACATCACTTTGAAAGATTTAGGCAGACAGCAGTGTGGTTTAAAATGGTGCCGTTCCACAACAGCTCCAATAAATCTGTACCACAAGTTTCCTCAGGTGTTACTTTATTTGTTAATGCTATAATTTGTTTAATGACATATTTCTCCAAGTGGTGGGAACTTTTGCTATTGGCATTGAAGCTCCTAGATTCTCTCTGCACAAATACACAATATTTATGCAAGCTGTTGTGGTGTGGTTTTTTTTAAGATAAGAGTTAAGCCAGTGCACTCTTCTTCCATTAATGGACTACCCCACAGGGATCTTTCCAAAGAGTAAGAAGGGGGGGGAGGGGGGAATCACATCAGCATGCTAGGGGAGAGGAAAGCCTTGACTTTTATTGCTGTCCCCAGCAGTACTAAACCTCCAGAGGGAACCTAAGTATTATATTCATGACGGCACAGGGACGAGTTTATACTCTGAGTATGAGGGAGTACAGGAAAAGGCCGTTCAGGCTCTGTCAAAAAGAGTTTTTAATAAATTCCTTTTAGGCAGTGTTTATCCACCACTTTTATTTTCTCTCAACTCTGAAAGGATTCTGGCAGCTGCACAGTAGTGCTTGCAAAGGAGCAAGTGGAAACAGCAATTTAAATGACTCTCTTTCTCTCATCTGCACACAGCAGGATTGTATTGCGCATCTAACTCTGGCCGTATTGCAAACTGCATGCTATTTTTGCTGGCCTTTAAAAGGAAGGTTAAAATCATGCCTGCACTGCAAAATATTTAATGACGAGAACATAAAATGAATTGCTTGTATTTTGACATCTTTGCCCCAGCTGTGACTGGCTCTTACTAATTATCTATTTTTCTCTATGAAATCTGTCCTTGAAAGCAACCATCTTAGAATACCACATGCTTGGAAACGATGGGAAGTTCTTTCTGTTCATGCTGTGATTTACAATTAGCTGGATCTGGCAAAAACCTGGGCTCACATATTGAATCCGTTAACACACATATGCCTTGTTCTAGCTGCTCCAAGGAAAGAATGTCCAGCATATTATCTGCACCACAATCCAGAGACTGGTGGTAGATAACAAGCTCACTTTGAAACCAGAAATCTTCCTTAGCACTCTGGTTTTGAAGAATCTAGATGCAAGCTATACATTTAAATCACGTTCAATGGACATTTAAAGCACACGACTTCCAGAAGAAGAAGAAGAAGAAGAAGAAGAAGAAGAAGAAGAGTTTGGATTTGATATCCCGCCTTTCATTCCCTTTTTAAGGAGTCTCAGAGCGGCTAACATTCTCCTTTCCCTTCCTCCCCCACAACAAACACTCTGTGAGGTGAGTGGGGCTGAGAGACTTCAAAGAAGTGTGACTAGTCCCAGTGGCGTAGCGTGGGTTGTCAGCACCCGGGGCAAGGCAAGTAATTTGCGCCCCCTAACCCGTGGATTTGCCCTAACCCCAGATGTTGCGCCCGGTGCGGCCGCCCCCCTGCACCCCCCACGCTCGCCACTGACTAGTCCAAGGTCACCCAGCAGCTGCATGTGGAGGAGCAGGGACGCAAACCCGGTTCCCCAGATTACGAGACTACTGCTCTTAACCACTACACCACACTGGCTCTCAAAGGATAATGGGAAGTGTAGTTTCCCCCACAGATTTACAACCCCCAGCATCCATAATAAACTACAGTTCCCGTGATTCTCTGGGGGACGTCATGTCCTATAAATGTATGTTGGATGTGCTTTAAATGCATGGGGTGGAGATGAGGCATATAATCACAGCTCAAGTACTATTGTCTTTTCAAGTACACAAGCCTATTCACGTTCCTTCCAGGAACAGGCAGCATCTATTCTCCTAACAGTTTAATCTTCATAGATGCCTCTGTCACATTCTTGCTGTTTCCTTTAACAATACTTATTACCTATAGTAATTAGGAGTATGAAAATGTTGATTCCAACCAATAGTCTTCATTGTCTTACACTGTACTGGCATAAGATCACATTCTCTGTTGCCAAGTTTATCTTGGAAAAAGCAAATATATACAGTACATTCACAAACACAAATGATGTGATTACTTCTACTACCTCAAAGAAGCATCTGCTTTAGTGCTTTTCACAAAAGTATGATTACTGAGGGAGCAAAAACCTCTCCCCAAAAAACCCTTTGTTATATCTAGTGCATAACTGCATTTATTTTGGATGCAATATTGAAGGCATTTTGAGTAAGCTCGGAAGGAGATGTGATAGAAATGAAGAACTGTATAGCAATTTTGCAGTAATCCTTTAAAATTACTACTTCTATTCATATTCATTGCAAATTTTAAAAAAACTGAATAAGATGGCCAATATAACCCAACCTCTCAAAAGTGGAAAGAAGAGAAGAGAGAGAGATAAAATACTGAAAGTAAGCAACCAAATTTAGTAAGAGGCTAGGGACCTGGTACACAATGTTGTGGAGCGGAATATTCCTGTTTCTAGGATACTCCTTTCCATTTCCCCTTCCACTAGGATTTTCTGTTCTCTCTGTCCCTCTCCCCCCAAACTCAGTCTGCATTCCATGGCCACAGGGTTATTTTGGGTTCCTCTCCCTAGTTTTTCATATCTTGTATGCCTGCAATCCTTAGGTTCCCATAAGATTGCTTTGTGTGTGTATGTTGATGTTTTAGCTATACTTGGAGAACTGAGACTGCAGATAGTATAAGAAAGAAGGGAAAAGGTAAAGTATAGTAGAAGTTATCAAAGAAAAACAAAAATAAGTTAGAGGAGAGAAGTAAAGGGAAATGCAGCTGCATGGGTACTCGGATACCATGTGGAACTATTGCTCAAAAATATGAAGATGATCTTAAGAACATAAGATGAGCCTGATGGATCAGGCCAATGATGCAAGTCAAGCACCTTATTCTCACAGTGATGCAAGTCAAGCACCTTATTCTCACAGTGGCCAACCAGATGCCTGCGGGAAGCCTGCAACTGTGGTGTAAAGGTTAGAGTGTCAGACTATGACCTGGAAGACCAGGGTTCAAAGCCCCACTCAGCCAGGAAGCTAACTAGGTGACTTTGGGCTAGTCACCATCTTTCAGCCTAATCTACCTCACAAGGTTGTTGCAGGATGAAACAGAGAGGAGAACCAAGTACACAACTTTGAGATTTTTGGAAGCAAAGGTGGTATATAAATGTAATCGACACAATAAGCACAAACATTCTGCCCACTTGTAAAAGGTAAAGGTAAAGGTACCCCTGCCCGTACGGGCCAGTCTTGACAGACTCTAGGGTTGTGCGCCCATCTCACTCAAGAGGCCGGGGGCCAGCGCTGTCCGGAGACACTTCCGGGTCACGTGGCCAGCGTGACATTGCTGCTCTGGCGAGCCAGCGCAGCACACGGAAACGCTGTTTACCTTCCCGCTAGTAAGCGGTCCCTATTTATCTACTTGCACCCGGGAGTGCTTTCGAACTGCTAGGTTGGCAGGCGCTGGGACCGAACAACGGGAGCGCACCCCGCCGCGGGGATTCGAACCGCTGACCTTTCGATCGGCAAGCCCTAGGCGCTGAGGCTTTTACCCACAGCGCCACCCGCGTCCCTTGTAGTTCTCAGCAAACTGTATCCACAGGCATATTGCTACTGGCAGTGGAGGCAGCACATAGTCATTGTGGCTAGTAACTGTGAATTGCCTTCTCCATGTATTTGTCTAGTCCTTTTCTAAAGCCATCCATGTTGGTGGCCATCACTGCCTCCTTTAATACCACTGTATGTACAATTGGGTTCAGTGATGCTTGCTCCAGGTAGGCATGTAACTCCCAAGCTCAATCCAACCTCACTTTCTGAGAAAACGTTCATAGAAGTGTGCTGGAAGAGTAATAGGCCAGCCTGTGATACCAAATCTATTAAGAATTTAAAGGGGCCAAATAAACATTAAGACTCAAGGAAGGCAAGCCTGTTACTTTATTAGACACAAACAAAACTGCATATGTGCAATTCAACCTACTTAAACTGATAGCTCTGCCACACAGCTATGTGAAGAAACCACATTTAGGCAGCTCCGAGCCCTGTGGTCAAATATGCTGCCATCAATCAGGAGTGGGGAATCAGTGGCCCTCCAAATGTTGCTGGACCACAACTCCAATTATTCCTGACTATTGATCACAGTGGCTTGGGCTGATAGGATTTGGGTTCCAACAACATCTGGAGCATGAGGCACAGGATCAGGCAATCTATCACACCAAAACACTGTGCTCTCTACAATGTACTACTAGGACCAAGACAACCAGCATTGCATAGTTGTCCTTTAAAATAATTTATAAGAAAGGGTAATAGATTCTACCCTGTTATTAGAAGAGTAACCAAAAGCCTTCTGGCATTTAAGAAATTAGAGAGACAACCGACCTATGTTTTCCCTGCTCTAACCTCAGATCATTTATACAAAAGAAGAGGGTTTTCATGTCACAGGCAAGATCCTTGTGGTTGGCTGTTGCTCACTGGCAAATAGAACTTAATGCCAACGATCTTATTGAACACTGAAAGACAATTGTGAACAACTTCTGTGCTCTCTCCATATGTCATATAAAAAGTTAATTGCACATTACTGTCAAAACTAACTCCTTTTTCTTCAGTCCTTTTTATCTCATCTGTATTATTTTTGAAGTGGTGCGATCAGAACAAAACACAGTACTGTATCCTTAATGTGGATTTATTTGCTGACCTATCATTTGCAACTTTCCTAATAATTCCTAACACTGCATTTGCCCTTTTCGTTGCTGCAACACCACCAAAGGCAAAAAAACCCCAACCCTTAAAGTGCTTCACACCTCCTCCACCTCTGGCATTAAAGATACCATAGCCTTTCTGCTCCATTGTATTTTATTTTTAACGTTGATTTTAATTTTTGCTTTATGTTGAGTGTATTTTCAGTGGTGGCTGGTAAAATTTTTACTTGGTAGTACTGCAACCTTGCCATTTTTATTGCAATAGCACTACCACAACACTTATGTAGGCAACTGGACCATTACACACATTCTTAATCCAAAAGTATAGTTATGGCAAAGAGGTCCCTCCAATGTGTCTCTAAACAGAAAAACTATGGGATTGAGCAGACTGCCAGAAAGGCAGCCCTGGCAGGAACGCTCTTTCTATGAGGCCTGTCCAGAACAGCCATTGGACTGATTGGCCAGAGTACAGGAGATTGACAGAAATGCTTCTGTAAGTTCAAGGAAGTAAAAATGTGGCAAGGACAGGAAAGAGTGCATGGCTTTGAGAATCTGAGAATCTGACTGTGTTGCAATCAGAGGCACCAAACTGTAAGGAAGACTGCGGGGGGAAAACATGAGTGACATTGCATGTGTGATGTCCCAAAGGTATTTGGCTTCTAAAAATGTTTTGCCATTAGGAAAGCCAAAGAGAGGGGGCTCTGTGCCAAATGGCAAATGGGAGGAGCCCCCCACCCCCAACTCAGAATTAGTAACAAGACAAAGGCAGAGTTTGAAGGAGAGTTTTAGGGTTGGCTGTGATGTGACCTAGAGGAAAAAAGGTGACAGGTTAAAGGCAGCAAGCTGGAGAGAGGGTCAGAGCAGGATGTCTGATTTCCGTTTGCACCCAAGGCTGCAGCTATGGGAGAAACAAGACCTACTTGGGATGTCAATGCTGAGAACCCCTCCGTAATAGGCTCATGTGTGTGTGTGTGTGTGTGTGTGTGTAAGTGTATAAACCATATACTTTATCATAAAGATACCAGAGTCTCTGCTGTGCCTCATTTTCCAAAAGCAAACACAAACCCTGGATAAAGCATCTGGAACCCCTGGAATCTTGCACCGCTGAGAGACCGGGGTGGCATGCAACAGTAGAAGGGAGCTTTCTGAATGCCATTGCATGGCCTTTCGGACAAACTCCTGCTTTCCCTTCCTTTTCTTCTGGAACGCACTGAGCCAAGGAGGGAGCAATTATCAACCCCACGCATAAAAAAGCTTCATTCACACACGCTTATCAGCTTATGACATATTTATACGAAATCAGCTTGCTTCAAGCCACCCGCGTTTATTATTTAGTGTATGTCTTGCAAAGCCGACGGGGGAGCCCTGCCAGGAGCATTTGCACGTCTATAACAGATGTCCTGTATCGCCACGTTGCGGATTTGCTGCTATATACAAGCCCGCAGGGTCCCGACAGAGGGGGTGGCGAGATCCGAGCGGCGTGGAAAGGTTAGCTGGGAAAGCGGGGCCGCCGCTAGGTACCAGAGGGAGTGTTGTCAGGAGAGAAATGGTTGCCTCTGACTAAATAAAATTTAAAAAAAAACAAAACCCGCCCACCCAAAGATTCCCAGTCCGTGGTTGTGGAAGCAGCTGACGAGGCATTCGATATGGCTTCCAGCAGCAGGGGGTCTGCTGGAGCCCGGGGTAAGGTGGGGGCTTCCTCTCCCTCCCTCCCTCCCCAAGGGCAGGTGAGGCTCCTTGGTAACCGGTCCCTGGAGAGGAGAGAGGTCCACCTGCCGCTCTGACTGGCTGTCGGGGGTGGGGAGCGGGCCCCGGGCGCCCCTCCCTCCCTCGCCTCGCCTGAAGCAGGGGCTGTCAGCCCAGGAGCCGCTGCGCGTCCTGGGAGGGCTGGCCGGTCTGGGTCTCTCAGGAGGATTCCGCTCCCTCTCCCGCCCTCCTGCCGCTCACGAGGCGTCTGGCGGAGTCCCCACAGCAGACTTCCCCTCTCTCCCTCACTCTCCCGCTCATTCCGAGCCCCACCCTCCCGCCAACCCACTCACCCGCTGGAGGGGGCGGGCTGTGGCGGCTGAGGAGGAGCCGGGCGCCAGGCCAGGGTGGCTCCAGGCGCGGCCGGGCTAGCCCGTGGCGTCGTCCCTGCTGGCCAGAAGCGCCGCTCGCCGCCCCGCTGCGCCTTGTGTGCGCGCAGGCGGGAGTGACTCGGCGGAGGTGCGCGGCTCGGCGCGGGCTGCAGGTGGCGGCGGGGAAAGCGGCGGCAGAAGCAGCAGCAGCCGCAGCGCCATGAGCGGGACTGGGGCGGCGGCCAGCGCCGCTGCCGCTTCTCTGGCGGCGGGCAAGAGCGAGAAACTGGACGAGGCGCAAGCGCTGGCCCGCAGCTGCGCCGGGAGACCCGACTTCCAGCCTTGCGACGGGCTGTCGATGTGCACCACGCACAGCCACGGACGCTGTTTCCGCCTGCACTGGTGCTGCCACCTGGGCTGGTGCCACTGTGAGTATTTTGGGGGGACGAGGAGGAATGGCGCGGGATGGGCGGGCCGCCCGGGCGAGCAGCTCGCCTTGGCCCCTCGCCGGACTTCCAGAGGCTTCCTTCCTTCCTGCAAGCGCAGGGAGCCCCCTGGCTGAACGCTGCAGAGATTCCTGTCGAGGCGGGGAGTGGCGCGCCGTTTGGGTGGTGGTTTGCTAGCCGCGAGGGAGGAAGAGCAGGCGAGCATCCCCGAGCCCCGGGGGGGGGGGCGGTGAGAGAAGCACACCCTATTTGCCCCCCTGGGATTCGGATCCTGAGGGGGCAGGCAAGCTCTTGCCCGCCTTCCTTCCCTTCGCCTCGGTGGCTCTGTGGTGCCCGGAGGGCAGGATTTGACGGCGAGATCGATAGTGGCTGATCGCATAGCAGCCGGAACACGATGGATTTCTCCATCCTCCCAGCCTGCATGTATCTGATGAGGCAAGAAAGGGATGGGATGGGCTCGCTGTGAAGCTGTGTTAGTGGCAGTAATGGGTAAAAGGTGGAAGGGAAGGAGAGGGGTGCGCCTGCCCTTCTTTTCTGTTGGCAGAACAGAACCACACTCCCCTCTCTCCCCGCTCCACGTATCTTTTTTTGTTTTAGGGGGGCTGAGAAGCAGCAAACCTCCCATATAATCCTAGCCTCTGTCGCTACAAGAAGGCGCTCCCTCTTCTATCTCTGATAACCGCTGGAGTTGTAGATGCCTTGTATATGAACACAGATGTTCAGGCAGGAAATGGAGCCAACATTCCGTGGGATGGGCTGCACTATTTGTAGGCTTTCCTTACTGGATATTGTACACTAAGAGTGGCTCTCATAATGCGTACGAAGTCTAAGTTATATCAACGTATGAACACTAGTGGTTGAAGCAAGGCGTTTAGTTTGGCTGTCATTTTTATTGTATTTGTTAGTTGGTTTTCTTACAAAGTGAGGCTGAGTGACTTAATGCTAAAATCAGTTAAGAACCAAAAAAAACAACCCCAAACCCTAAAAAGACAGTAGTACAAATAAAAGGCTAAAAAAACACAGCTGAACAAAAAGGCAGGACTACAGGTCCTGTCCTACCCAAAGAGGCCATGCTACCACCCTTCAAATCAAGAGCCAAAAACCTTGGTAAATAAGAGAAAATTCTTTGCCTGGTGCCTAAACCTGGATAAAGATGGCACTAGGCGTGCCTCCCTGGGGAGCGATCAGAAATGCCCATCAGAAATACCTTCTTTTGTGGGCTTGCTGTCTCAGGCTAGGCTTGCTGATTCATAGTGGTTTTAAAAATTGGTGGTTTCTGTTATTTATTCTCTTATAGTATGGAGCTGCATTTAATAGAGCCTGTAATCTTATTGCTATCTCGTTTCCAAGCTATTAAAGGATCTTCCCTGGCAACCTGAAATTTAATCTATGCCCAAAGAATGCTTCTAAAATGTACTAAAGAATGGTTTAGTTCAAATGTATTCATTCTCAATTAAGGTTTTGGTTTTTTGCTTTAGTCACGCTCAACCCTCCCTTGTCCAAGCTAGAAACACCTTATTGAATGATATGAGGTGACCCAGAGTGAAGGGCAGGCCATGCAGAAGAAAATAGACGATAAACGATTTGCTCTTTCTTCCCATTTTTATTGGTATAGTTGCCATGAAACTCAGTGCCACACCATCTATCTGGAACAAGTCACACAGCAAAGCTCAGTTGCCTGATGTGGCCATTTCATTATCTACAGCCAGAAAACTGAGAGGCAGATGCATTGGACTTGTTACAAAAGAGAAATTGCATTTCAGTTTTCTGCTTCAGCATCCTGTTGTTCCCATCCAAGTCTCTGTGGGGATTTCTCTCCACTCGCAAAGCATCATGACTCATGTCCCAGTCCTTGTGACCTGAGGAAATTTATATATTAGGGTAGGATTCGTTGTCATTTGTCTGTTTTTAAACTATATCTCATTTGTAAATTTAGAGGATTGTTGTATCTCCTTTTGAAAACTGCTTGCTCCACAATAAATTGTCAAGCTATCAACTAATGGTGTGTACTTCTTGTCCAAATCTATATTTTCGCACGTTTTAATGGCCTCACCTTTCCCTTTCTTTGATCTCATTGGGTTTTGCTTTCCACCCCTTCATTTTGGAGGCCCCTAGTGATGCATCAACTTGCTAACAAATGGCAATAAAACTAAAATTCACTTGGGACTGTGGACATGGTTAGGATGAACTACAACTCCACACCCTGAGTTATATGGACACCACCATTCTTAAACCCACCTTACCCCTTTGTGCTGTTTCAGCCTACAAAATTAGGCTGTTGCTGAGTAGAACAGTGCTCCACTAAAGCTCTAATGATGTCATACACATTAGTGTTCACTAAATGCTCTCTAATAATGTTTTTGGTTTCCTGTTGGTAAAGCACACTGTTAAGCCTTTTTGAATCTGCTGCTTTAGTGCTTCTAATCAAGTGGATAAGTTGATTCTCCCACTTGCACATCACTACGATCACAGCCTGATCAGGTGCTTTCTCCGATATCAGGATTGACCAAGATTTTGTGAAAGCATTCAGTAGAAATACTCCCGTCTCTAACTGATCTTAAAGAGCTCTTAGCAATTTCCAAGGACTCTGTGCAGATAACCATTAAAACAATGCACTCCTTTCCATTTGCAGTGGAGGGAATCCAGCCAAAGTTATATCAGGATTGGACAGAATGGCACTTGGAGGGCCAAACTGAACATTATGTTAAATATATATTTGCATTTAGAATCATAGAATCATAGAGTTGGGATAGACCACAAGGGCCATCGAGTCCAACCCCCTGCCAAGCAGGAAACACCATCAGAGCACTCCTGACATATGGTTGTCAAGCCTCTGCTTTGTTTGAGTGTTGTGGGTTTTTTAAAAATACTGTATTTTTTCCATGTATAAGACAGGGACTCAAAATTCAGAAAATGGGGGGAGATTGTCCCCCATGTATAAGCCCCCCTTTTAACAATTTTTTTTTAGTAAATAAACCTAGTCTTATACACGGAAAAGTAGAGTAATAGCTCTAGGCTTCCTAATTTGGATTGCGACTATAGCCCTGGTGGAGGGGGCTTAACCCTTTTCCTCTGCTCCATGATCTTAAAGAAAATTCCCTCAAAGTTATTTGTCCCAGGAAGACATATCTGCAGCTGAAGGGTTTTGTCCCTGCAAGTCAGAAGGTAACAGCACTCATCCTAGACATGGAGAATTAATGAGTTGGTACTAGTTGCAGAGGGACGCGGGTGGCGCTGTGGGTTAAACCACAGAGCCTAGAACTTGCCGATCAGAAGGTCGGCGGTTCGAATCCCCGTGATGGGGTGAGCTCCCGTTGTCGGTCCCTGCTCCTGCCAACCTAGCAATTCGAAAGCACGTCAAAGTGCAAGTAGATAAATAGGTACCGCTCCAGCGGGAAGGTAAACGGCGTTTCCATGTGCTGCTCTGGTTCGTCAGAAGCGGCTTAGTCATGCTGGCCACATGACCCGGAAGCTGTATGCCAGCTCCCTTGGCCAATAAAGCGAGATGAGTGCCACAACCCCAGAGTCGATCACGACTGGACCTAATGCATCTCCAGGTAGGGCCAGGAAAGGCACCTATCTGCAACCCTCAGGAGCCTTTTTCAGTGAAAGTGAAACACAGGTAGGGCCCCTCTGTCTGGCCTTCTGAACTCCCTGTGCTACACCTCTCACTGGTTCTCCAAACTCCAAAGGTCCTTGACCTCAGTCAATGCCTCTTGCTTCTCTGGATGGAGGATGTGAGTAAATATTACCGTATTTTTTGCACCATAACACTCACTTTTTTCCTCCTGAAAAGTAAGGGGAAATGTCTGTGCGTGTTATGGAGGGAATGCCTATGGGTGGCATGCCTACAGATTTTCCTCCTCTAAAAACTACGTGCGTGTTATGGTCGGGTGCGTGTTATAGAGCGAAAAATACGTACATGAGTTGCTTCACTCACTTTTGCCTCTGGTTTTGCCCACCACTGGCATGCAGCCCTCCAAAGGTTGCCCAAAAAGGAATGTGAGCCTAGGGCTGAAAAAGATTCCCCATCCCTGGTGTAGGTAGTGCTGAACTGGATGGCACAGTGGTCTTTTAGAAGGCAGCTTCCTTGGTTCCAAATGGACCATCTCTCATTTCTAGGACTTGCCCCGTTTATTAGTGCTAAACCAATGATTTCTTTGTTGACATACTCTGAGTCTGCTGAGATTTTTTTGCCAGTGGAGAAACAGGGCTGGAAAGGAAGTGGGAAGCAAAGTTCTTAGGGAGAAAATTGAGTCATGATTGAGGACATAAATATCATAGGAATCCATAAGATCACAAAGGCTTGGCTAGACAAATTATATTTTGTGTTTTTATATTGTAAACCACCCTTCAATCCTCAGATGAAGGGCAGCATAGAAAAGTATAAAATCAAATAAATACAAAATTAGGCAGCTGAACGTCCTTATCTAGGGGTATTGATGGTCCCGCTGCTCATCAAGGATTCAGTCCCCACCTTTGGAGTTCCAGAATGTGGTGGCATGTTTATTTTCAGTCTTTGTTGAAGGAGCAGAATTGTGACACACAGTGGGCACAGAGCAGCAAGAGGGGGCATGAGTTCAGTTGCCTGCAGAGTTCACCCCACACAATTCTTCCTGAACCTACTCGTTTAGCTGATTAGTCCCTAAGTGAAAATTGGCAGTTTATGATTACAGTATTTAATGAAAAGTTCCACCAGTAGTAGCTGTCGTTTTCCGTCTTTCTCTACTTTGATGCCAGCATTTTTTTTAAGGTAATTTAAGGTCCGCCCTGGATTTCTTCTTTTTTACCTCCAGGAAAACCAGTGCAAACAATTATAAACTCCTTATTAATTTAGCACAGGCTCTGTATTTGTTTCCCCTTGGGAATGTTGCATATTTAAATATATTATTACCTAAGAAATGGCTTGTAATTTCGAGATGTGGGAAATGGGTAATCAGTACATATATGTACACTACTAATGTATTAAAATTAATTGGCAG